ACACTTGCACTCAACCAGGGAAGACCTAGCTCTGACGAATGCAAAAACAGAGGGTGTATCTCCGACACTGCAGGAAGTTGCACAATTCTCACAAGTGCAGTAGCAGCCGTAAAGAGATATTCAGACCCTTGAGAACATGCACTGAAAAACCTAAATAGGACAAGTTAAGAACAGTGACAGAAACAATGCAGGTGGACAGGTTTCTCTACAAACACTTGTTACACGAGTGGGGCTGTGGGGAGGAAGCTATTTATACTTAGTCACTCAAAGTGGCTCACTTAGGCAGGCAGGCTGTGCTACTTATAAGGGAGGGCTCTTTGCAGGGATCATAGCTCTATTCGTCCTCATGCCCTGTAGATAAACCTCACAATTGAGAGACAGCTGGTGAACACTAGGAGCTTTCACTTTGCTGTTTTTGACTGATGAGAAGAGACGCTTTCAAGCCATGGATGTTTCTCTCAGCCAGTGTTCCTGCAGCAGGAGCCTAAGCATGAGTTTATGGCTTCTGAATGAAAGTAAACCTGAGTAGAGGGCAAAAATCCCACTTGCAATACTATGCACTTTTCCTTACCGCCTCTGATGCATGGCTCCCAACTCATGTGGACGCATGTAATACCCCACTGCTACCTTTGACATCACTTAGCTATTGCATCCGTCACTGACATGCTACTTGTCTTAAGACTGCTTTATGGTGTGCAACAAAGTGGCATCTAAATGAAATTGCTGAGCTGAAAGTTTGGGTAAATAGAAAAGGGTTGTCAACTCAATGGTCACAAAAAGCCTCAGATCTTAATAATGCATTGCATCCCCAAGATGAAACTGGGGGGGGGGTGCTTCTGGCCACAGGGAGGACCAGATTCACCACTGACAGAGGAGTGAGCACTACAGCTTGCAGCTTCCTTCGCATTTCTGGAAGAGCTTCCCACTGAGCCTGACAGGGCTCGTAGCAAGCTGTTTTAGATTTGGAATCAAGGACATAGCCAGGTTCAAAAGTAACCTAAACACTGACTTTCCTCCATAGCGACTCCTGGTATCATGCTGAGAGTCAGTTTTCAGAAGCAGTCATTTTGGGAACTTGATAATGTACCGTATTTAAAAAATGGTACCACAACTAACTGGACAGCAGTACTGGATACATGCACTAAGGAAAGAATGAGCTTGTTCCGTTCAGTTTTAAAAACTCTCATTACCCCCTTCTTACACAAGTGCAGGCTTAGCTCTTTTAGCAAGACGCATGAAAAAATGAATCCATTGCCCAAGAACCATGTAGTGGGGAAAGTCTGAATGGACCATAACATATTGGCCTGAAGGGTCTTAGAAGAACCATACTTCCTTCACTTTGACACAAGTAAATTTACAGTCAGACAGACTTGATCATTCCCTCAGCAAGATTCAGTTGCCCACTTTCTTAAAGAGTTACCAAAGAATAAAAAGTGAAAGGGATCTTAAAAGACTATTTTCTCTATTAGGGAGATCAAGATTTTCCGGGAGATGGCAAAACAGAGGAAGCTACCCAGAAAGCAACATCAGAAGAGGAATTAGCAAACAGAGTAGTAGCGCAATACAGTTATGAAGCCACCCAGCCAGAGGACCTAGAATTCCAGGCAGGAGATGTGATACTCATCCTATCCAAAGGTAACTATATTCTTGTGGCATTGACATGCAATACTCCTTGTAAGAGCACTGGCCAGATTTCAGGGTACCTGCAGGAGCTTCCACTTACTTTGATAGGAACT